TCTTTTGAATCTCCAAGAGCGCTTTTCTAATAAATAAGACGCTTGTAGCGACAACTCCTCACTTGTGTCACAGGAGATTACGGAAGAAAGAAACATGTAGTTTCATGTTGTAAGTGCGTCCGACGGCCTGGCAATCTGTCCCCTCGCACATATAGAAGTGACAAAAAAGAAAAAAAAGCAGTTGCGGAATTAGACTTTCAAATGAAATCTACAACCAGATCAACCGCCAAACCTTTTGTAATGACTTGCCCTTCTGTCTCTGTTCCTCAAAATTCACGCTCGGTTGATGAAAAACTCGGCGGACATTGTGCGTGCGCCTTATCCTCTGGAGAAAAGAACAAAACAGATATATGAGCTTTCTGCGAACCCGCGGACGGCTGGGAGGGTGGGGGTTGAAGGGGTCTTGGCGCGGACGCATACATGCGGAGACACATCAGATGGGAGCATCTTGTGGGCCCCTCATGCGTTTTCACTCAATTTTTGGAGCACTTGGCCATCGGCGTCCCCCCCCACCTCCAACCCTCTGCTCGCCCTCCAGAAGTGTGGCGCTCTTTGTCATTGTAATCCGGCCTCTGTTTGTTAAAGGCTCACTCGCTGTTTGCTCTGGCTGATGGGTGCACGTTTGCGCTCGTGTGTATTTACAAAAGTCAGCGGGCTGGGGAGTGCCGTGACATCATCGCCGCTGGCTTTTTTTGTCACACCCTGTCCTCCTCCAGACACCCGCCCCCCCTCTTTACTCAACCTTTCCCCAAAAGTGACAGTCTACAGGGAGGAATTACACCTCATCACTTCAGTAATTGCTAGTCCTGCTTCTCTAAGTCACCAAACAACATCAGACCCGCAGGAGGGGTCAGTCTTTAAAACGGGGCCATTTGTGTCTCGCGCGTACATGTAATATGGTGGATTTGAGGATGGACAGTGGATGTTTTTGAAAGCTTTGCTTAGGGCTATTATTAACATTTTTATATTTCAAAAATACAGCAAATTAATTAGTAATATACAGTGCTCAGCATAATTGAGTACACCCCATTTTGGAAATGAATATTTTTATCCATTTCCCAGTGAATTTAGGCAATGTATTTTAATGCATTTAAACTGGTTAATTAAACAGATATATTTATGAAATAATATTTTAGTCAACGAAGATATTTAGAAGTTGAAAGATAATAAATAATAATAAATAATAATAATAAATTCAAGCAAAACATTGCAAAAAATTACAACATAATAAATTTCAACAAAATTTGTAAAAAATGTTTTTCTTTGCTTCTCTTAATTTTTTTTTTTCTCTTTTTAAATTTGTATTTTATATTTTTTCTATAACAGGCATTTAGGTGTACTAGTTTTTGGACCATTATCATAAATTATTTTCTTAGATTAGCTCCAGATTTGGTTTCAGTACTGACTAATCTAATGTATGCACAAATATAATATTGTACAGCTAAAAATATGAATTTAAAAGAGAGATTTGTGAGGGGTGTACTTATTTATCCTGAGCGCTGTGTGTATATGTATGTATGTATATATATATATATATATATATATATATATATATATATATATATATATATATATATATATATGTGTGTGTGTGTGTGTGTGTGTATATATATGTATATATATATATATATATATATATATATATATATATATATATAAGCAGATTCTCACATAATAGAATGAAGTGTTAAAGAGATTAAATGAGGAAACTGTTTGTTGATTTATTTATAGGACTAATTAATATGTTTGTTAATTAATTATAACATTATAATTTTTTAAAATATACAGCGTTTTAAAAAATCATAAAATATAGTGCTCACTTATTCATATATACAGAGCTCAGCATATATGAGTACACCCCCCATTTATCTCTCAGTTAAATTAATATTTTTAATAGTAAGCTATACAATATTTTATTTGTGCATATACATTAACTTAGTCAGTACTGAAGCCAAATCTGGAGCTTATCTAACTTAGCAACTTACAATAACTGTTTAAATTTATATGTTAAAGAAAAATATTAAATAAAATCGTCAAAAATAGCAAAAATTAAGAGAAACTAAAAAATATATACAATTTTGATGAAATGTAGTTTGTATTTTTTTTTTGCAGTATTTTGCATGAATTTAAATGTATTTTCTTTCCATTTCTAAAGATGTTCTGTGATGTATAAATTATTTTAGTAAATATATTTGCTTAATAAATCTGTTTTGTTTAAATGCATCAATATATATTACCCATATTCACTGAGAAATTGATACATATATTCATTTTCAAAATGGGGTGTGCTCATAAATGCTAAGCACTGTAAGTCTGAAAAAGCATGTTGTAAAATGGAAAAAAAACACTTTTTTATATGTATATATCAGTAGATTTTCATATTTCACATTATAGAAAAGATGAGTAAATAAAGGCTCAAAGATTAAATAAGGAAACTTTATTTATAAGACTAATTAACATTTTTTTAATAAAATTTATATTAATGACTAAAAATACTAATTAATCGTCATTATAAATCTTTCTAATTTTCTACTATTTTTTGAACTAGTCAGTTTTACACAGCTTTAAAAAATCATAAAATTTTTTGTGTTCAATTATTCATATACAACTCAGAAAAGCGTGTTGTGTAATTTTAAATTGAATGCAACTAAAATGGTAAAAATAAACATCTTTTTATTCGTATATAGTAAAAGATGTGTAAATAAAGGCTCAAAGATAAAATTATTGGGGGGAACTATTTATTTAATGATAGAATAAAATTAATAAATATATTTGTTAATTAAAAAAAATTAATGACTAAAATACTAATTAAAATCCTTATAAATCTTTCATCTTTGCGACTATTCTTTGAACTAGTAGGTTTTACACAGATTTTTTTAAATAATTCAATTTAGCGTGTTCACTTATAAGCTCAAACAAGCATGTTATGTAATTTTTAATGAAATACATCTGCTTGCACTTACTATGCATTCTGTGGATGCAAGATTAGTTTGCCATTATTAATTTCATGCAGACACTAAAATGTCTTTGACTCGTAGATATTTTTACATTTATAGATCCAAAACATTATTTAAATCAGGGGTGCCCAACCTCAGTCCTTGAGGGCCGGTGTCTTGCATGTTTAAGTTCCAACCCCAATTAAACACACCTGAACCAGCTAATTAAGCTCTTTCTAGGTGTACTAGAAACCTCCAGGCAGGTGTTGTAAAGAAACTTGGAGCTAAACTCTGCAGGACACGGGCCCTCCAGGACTAAGTTTTGGCACCCCTGATTTAAAAAAAAAAAAATAAACTCAATTTTTTTTTTTTAAATAAATTCCTAAATTAACTATTTCAGAAAATTATAACCCCAAACTTATTAATGAAATCACAGCTTAAAAAATAAATATAATTTAATGGAGTAGTTTTTAAAGAGCTTTTTATATTTAATTTAAAAGTAAAAATTTGTAGAAATGGCAGCATTTTACTGTAAATTGGTCAACCAATGACAAATTTTTAATATGAAAAAAATAATAATTATAATTATAATTTTTTTTGTTTGTTTGTTATACATTTGATGTCAGAATTATTAGCCCCTCTTTGAATTATTATTAATAACATTTTTTTAATTTCCCAAATGATGTTTAACAGAGCAAAGAAATGTTCACAGTATGTCTGATAATATTTTTTCTTCTGGAGAAAGTCCTATCTGTTTTATTTTGGCTGGAATAAAAGCAGTTTTTAATTTTATAAAAATTATTTTAAGGTCAAAATTTAAGGTGCCTAACCTAGTTAACCTATTTAACCTAGTTAAGCATTTAAATGTCACTTTAAGCTGTATAGAAGTGTCTTGAAAAATATCTACTCAAATATTATTTACTGTCATCATGACAAAGATAAAATAAATCAGTTATTAGAAATGAGTTATTAAAACGATTATGTTCAGAAATGTGTTAAAAAAAATCTGCTCTCCATCAAACAGAAATTGGGGGGAAATTAAACAGGGCTCATAATTCAGGGGTGCTAATACTTTTGACTTAAACTGTATATTTATTTATTTTTTAAATTTACGAATAGGAAAAGATACCCAAATTAATTCAGAATTAATACAATTAATCATATTATGTTTTTAGTTTGTCAAATATACGTTCATGATAACTCTTAATTATTAATACAACATGGTACAAGTATGACTTCATACAATCTGGTTCACTCCCAAAACTTACATTTTAGATAACAGATTAATGCACAACCTAACTCAGATTAGCATTTCTTCTGAATCATCTGAACTTCAAACAGACGCTTGTGAAGTCAAAATCAAACTATAAAGCTGTCAAACGTTACCGTCAAGCACAATGAAGTCTGAATATATATTAGAACTGATCTTATCAAAGCACATTAACCTGAATTACTTTTCAAATCCCACAAAAGCATCATTAAAATCATCACAGTGAACGCACGACAGCATTAGAAAGAACTCAGTAATAGTTATTTACGAAAGGCCATGAAGTGCAAATAAGAAAGCGAACGGAAAAAAAAAAGCATCCACCCTGCCGACCTCTCATTACATATACTTCTGCTTGTTGTTTCCGTAGCAATAAAGTGGCAGACATTGGAACTGGTCTGTGGAGCCATTGTTATCATCTCTGACCATCTGCTACCGAAGGCTGACATTCCATCTCATTTGCATGGTAACTGATATGGGGGGAGGAGAGATTGAGGGTGGAGCGGGATGGGGTAAACGGAGGGGGTGTTTGGGAAGGACATATGCCCAAATACCCATCACAAAAAATATATGAGTGAAACTTAGTTTTTTTTAAAGCATGCAATTCCACGAGAGCACTCACACACACACACACATGCATGCGCTTCTAAGCAGGATAAATCAGTGTGTGCATGTGGAGAGAGGAGGGAAAAAAAAATCTGTCTGTTCCTCCCCTCTGTGCGCTGGTTTTTATGTTTTGCGGATGTGGGAGTGGAGTGAAGTGTGTGTGTGTGTGTGTGTGTGTGTGTGTGTGGTAGTGGAGGGGTTGCTGTTGATGTGCAAATGTGCATCATATTGAGAGCTTGTGAATAGGGAGGTGTGACGTAGAAAGAGAGCAGAACGCAGGTGCTTATCTCGGGGCTGTCACAGACATAGTGTGTCATATTCCTGGGGACTACCTTTCAAAAGCCACCGGCTCCAGCGCTAGAGCATCCGCCGAGCAGGGAGCACAGAATCCGCAGCTAACTTTCAGCATCAGTCAAGTAGGTTTGGTGTTGCGCTTGCTGTTTTTTTTTTTTTTTTTTTTGGAGATGTGACAGTAGCTGTAGCCGTCTGTGGTCGGTGTGTTTGGGTAGCAAATCGAGCTGTTTGTTTCTGGATGTGTTGCAGCTGACAGCTCTGCGCGGGAGAAAAGTTTGGACGCTAGAACAAAATGTTATTATTTTTGGAATTTCATAATATATTTAAAAACAAAATTAACTTTTTTTTTAAAGATATTTCTTTTTAGTCTTTCAAATAATTTTTTTTGTTATTTTTATTTTACAAATTAACTTTTAACAATTTTTGCTAGCACTCACGAGCGACTTCTTGGTATTTAAACAGAACAATGAGCAGATTAGATGACTCAAAGTGCGTGTTTTCAAGATCAACGACCTAATTTTTATAACAGTAGATGTCTGTCTGATAACAGTCTACCTAAATTAAAGTCCCTGTGCGTGTGCCGGAGGGTTTAAGCGAGTCTTAGACGTGTTAGCATTGTGTGTTAGCACAAAGCTCTGGCTTTTGGGTACAGCAGCTGAGCACACACAGCCCTTCCTGTCTTTCATCTCAAACTTTCAGGCTTTAGGCTCGCGTTAGCACTGCTTTCGCTCCGCTCTCTTCACAGTATAGGTCTTACGCCGATTGCTTTCTGTTTAGCACCTAAAAACGCCAGCTCAGATGCGTGTTTATGGATGATAGTATCATTGGAGAGGTGATATTTTAGATGCTATGCAACTTTGGTTTATGCATGAGGACGTTGTTTGTAATTGTAATTCGTTTTTGTGATCGTGTTTTGAAAGTAGTCCTATTTTATTTATTATGCTTCAGTTTACTTGTATTTTTCTGAAGTCATTAGCATGTCAACAGGTTCGTTTTTATGATTGATATCTTTTTGCTGGTGTAGAATAGCTTGGATTTTTTTATCAAAACCAAAAATATATTTAAAAACATCTAAAGGAATATTTCATTATCTAAAATTAAGCTTTATAAAACACCCACTGTGGTTATATTTATTTATTAATAAATATTTATTTTTAATCATCATGCAAAGCATTTTTGTGTTAGCGTTTAATTCCAAACATTTTGTTAGATAATCAAAATGTACAACAGTTTGATCTCTTTCAATCCTAAATCTCCTTGTTTACAAAAAAATAATGTGATACTTCTAATCCATCTTGTGCGGTAAAGTATATTTCTCGAATGAAACCAAATCCAGATTATGCACCTTTGAAACTATTAGTTTAGTCGCCGCTACTAATGCAACACAGTTGCAATCTCCCCCTCTTAAACAAATTGAAGGGTGTTTTCTCTGATTCTCTCCATTTAAATGCCAGGCTTGGAGTTGCATTAGAGAAAAGCAACAGTTTCCTCCGGTGGAGCGAGAGCTCAGGGAACTGTCCATGGTGCTGCTCAGGAAACAAGTCCTGAATCAACTCAAAAAGAGGCCTCCGCTGTGTTGAAGGTCATCAGGGTTCAGTTTCAACCTCCGTGACCTCTTGACCTGCGGTTATAACACATTCGACAATGCAACTTTACGATTCTAATCTTCAATGTAATATATTAATACACACAACCAAAACGTTGAGTAACCGTGTATCCATGTAACGTCTTGTTACCTGTTTTTTTTTCTATTTTGTTTTGTCCTCCTCAGCCCACAAAGCCATCCATGCACAAACTTCACTTGGTTAATCCAGGCAAATGAATTTTGTGGGTTTAATTCAACAAGGTTTTAAAAATGTTCCATCTGCTGTGGAGCAGCTGGTGATAGACTGAATGTAATTAATTACTTAACTTTTGAACAGTAGTCCAGGAAAACAGAGTGCCGTGTGTGTGTGTGTTTGTGTGTGTGTTGGAGAAATGCAAGTGAAAAAAAAATCAGGAGCGTGGCTGGAAGATTACACACGTTTGATTTTTAGCGCTGACCGTTTGATGCAGTGACTTTGGATTTATATTCGCAATTAAGCGAAAACGTGTAACGAAAAGCTCGCTGTCTCATTGGCTGGAGTGATGCAACATATCGAACGTTTCAAATAAAAGTGGATCGATTTGTAGTCATAAATAGAAGTAGGAAAAAGGCAGCGAGCCATGTTGTGTAATTAAAATCACATAGGCCTTTTCTGACACTTTTTTTTTTACTCCTCTTCCCGCTCTGAATATATTTCAGCATCTACCTTGATAGCAGTGTTACCTCATTGGCTGCGGGTGCGTTTGTTGGCCTAACTATAAAGGATCTGCCTGCACCCTTGTGGGTTGGGAAGAATTAGGATTTATGAATTTATTTCCTCTGTTGTATTGTTTAAACAGCTTTGGTTCAGTTTTGATCCTTTCCTATGCCTTTGAGGCTGTTCCATGGTGTCAGCTGTTGACTGATAGTAAGAGAACTGCCGCACAGTATGAATGAAAGAGAAGTAGCGGTTGGTAAACACTGATAAGGGATAAATAGAAAGCGGTCAGGCAGAGATAGTTCAGTGGGAGCCCAGATTGTGTGCGGTCTGGTAAAATGAGATTCTAAGCCTGTCCTTTTTTATTCTTCCACACCCCCCACCTCTTTTAACCACACCATCCACCACCCCTTCACCACACACACACACATCCATCCACCCCTCCGGATTGCGTTTGTCTGGAAAATCTCCAGTGACCTCGCTCGACAAGTCCTGGGCTTTAGAAATTTTTTTTTTTTAATGGTGTGTGTGTGTTTGTGTGTGTGTGTGTGTGTGTGTTTGTTTTGTCTGCTGACATGGGTCAAGTTAGCCAATAGACACGTCTCTGCTGATTATGGACAGCTGCCACTGCTGTGAGTGCCACCTTAATGTATTTTACATAGAATTATCAACAGAAAGACGATATGAAGTCAGAAGGACAGCCTTACTGAACATCACTTGTGTTGAAGGGCAATGTTAGTGAAGCACTCCCCCCCCAAAAATCATATTTTTTTGGGTTATGAATACAGTAGAGATATCAAGACTCAAATGAAAAATACTATCTGCCTTTGATTTTTGTATAAATTTTTTTTGTTAATAGTTTGCTGTGATTTATCGGTTTGTGCTTTATATTGTCATAGCTTGGTTCAAAACCACAGGGCGACATTGACCGTGCACTCTTTTTATTTATTTATTTTTTTAAAAACTCTTGAGTATGATATAAGTAGTTATATTATGATTATAAATAATTTGAATAATTCTTTTTTCCAAATATTAATTTGGACTATGTCAAAATATCAGTGGAATGAAATTCTGCAAATAATACATAAAAAAAATTATGTTTTTTTCATTAATGTGACTTTGGCTGTGAATCGTGATCATTTTTAAGTAATTTTTCAAAGTATTGTAACATTAATACGAAGTTAAAACTTAAACAAATTTAAAAATAACATTTTAGGAAATTAAATTAATTAATAATGAATTTTCTAATTTTTACATTTTACATGGCTTTGATTTTAAAATGATCCTTTTGGTTTTACATTTCATTGGCAATTACATATTTATACATTTTTGATAAATAAAATTATAGTATACATTTTATATTATTAAATCATTATATAATTAATAAAGAAATAAAAGCACGTCATTCAAATATTTAATCATTATTTTTTATGCATTTCATATTTAACTCATATTTAAATATTACATTTATTTTTATTACATGTCATGCTAATGTTGCACTTTGCATATTTTTTTTACATTAATAAAGACCAAAAAAATGTATCGCATTTAATGCATTAATGCATTTTTTATCATTATATAATTATTAAAAAAATAAAAACACGCCATTTAAATATTTAATCATTATTTTGATGCATTCTGTATTCAGCTGATATTTTAATATTTATTTTTTTGTATAATCATGCTAATGTTGAACTTTGCATCTTTTGTAACATTAATAAAGACTAAAATTTAATGCATTTCTATAACCATTATTTAATTATTAAACAAACAAAAGCACATTATTTAATCATTATCTTTATGGATTTCATATTAACCTGGTATTTTAATATTGCATTTTTTATATATCATGCTAGTGTTGCACTTTGCATCTTTTGTAGCATTAATAAAAGATTAAAAAAATTAATCGCAATCAATGCATTTCTTTAAACATTACATAATTATTAAAGACGAAAATATTAAAAATTTAAATATTTAATCATTATTTTTATGCATTTATATTTAACTGATATTTTAATAATTATTTTTTTGGCATATATCATGCTAATGTCGCACTTTTCATCTTTTGTAACATTAATACAGACCAAAAAAACAAATTAATTGCATTTAATGCATTCATTTATTAGATTAAGACTGAACATTTTAAGTTAAAGCAAGTTGAAAGCAAAGCATTTAGCTTTTTTCATCTATTATTTCCACCCCAATTTTGACCTTTACTTGAACACCCCTGAACTGTTTTTTATTCAATCCATCTTTTATGAGATTAGACGGACCTTCATGAGTTATACCTCGAGGGTCACCATGTGGTACATTTATACCTAAAATAGTTCAGCCCATTGTGCGTCGCTGCCTAATGAGATTGGTCGTTAAATGAATGACACAAAGGCTGAAGGGGGGCAAACGGGGGGGATTGAGACCCACTCGCTTTCTCCCCTCTCGCCACGCGACACAACAGCAAGACACGGCGTAACCTCGACCCCACAAACAACACCTTTGATGGAGCTGTGAAAAGCGAGCAGGGATGTGGTAAGTCAGATGGCCCTTCACTGCCCCGTGTGTGTGTGTCCGTCTGCGCCTCTGTGTTTGTTCAGACAGCCTCAGTGAGAAAGATGCTCGGCTGGATGGAGGGTTTGATCTGTGAAATGCATCAAGACAAGTGCGCTGCTTTTTTTTTTGTAAAGCTGTCATTTCCAGGGTCGTGTTTTGAGAGGGGTGACGCTCCCGCAAGCATGTTTCAGACACTCTTCTTCACTTAAAAAACTCTTGACTTTAATTAACGCATTGTTTGTCTTTCCGTACGCGCTTTGTACTTTTGTGCCGGCTGTGTGTAGTTCTTGTGC